CTGTATGAGCTATTGTGTATTGCTTGCTATAACTGAAAGCTTGACATCTTTGCATCATTTTGTAACCTTCTCCAGGAAAAAGGAGTTATTTGCAAGCCATGTATTCTTCCTGGATGGCTGGGTTTTCCAAAAATGCTGAGTTTAAATCTTTATAAAGTACAGGTCAGGAGTTAATATTGTTTTGGTTATTTAGAACAGAAGTCTCTTGACTCTGAAATTAAGGGTTGCCCTTCTGGGATGAGCCACAGGGCTTGGCAATGTTCAGCTGCTTCTGGAACCTTCTACCCCTCTGATTTGGTGGCACCTCCCCTTCTCCTGCCCCCTCCTGGTGCTCTCTGCTGCCTGGGAAGAGGTGGAACACAAAATGCTGGGATGCTGGTGCAGAAATCCCTGCAGGATTTGCCCATCTGGGAGGGGCTGAGGATGGGGGTGGAGGTGCTGACAGGAGGATTTTTGCAGTGTTTGCTTTGTGGTTAAAGGCAGATTTTCCTCAGGGTCAGGAGGTGCTGCCCAGCTCCTCTGGGGGAAATAATCTGAGATTGCCAAAGGAAGAGGCTCTGTCTGGTGCAGAACATCCCAAACCCCCCAAGACTGGGCTCATCCAGAGGGAGAGTGAAGCAGAGGCCCCCAGAGGCTGAGGCTGAACCTTCCTGACCCAGCTCTTGACACATCCTCACTGCCCCCATCCTCTCAATTAGTCTGGAAGCTTAATTAGAAAATCCTCCCATGGCCCTGTGCTCAGTCTGATCCTCTCCTCCCCTTGTCACAGACATCTTTTATGGAAAATCCTTTCCTTAGGGTTTTTCCTCCTGAGAAGCTGAGAGGCCTCAGGAACAAAATGCAAACAATGATTATCTGCTGCCGTGGAATGCAACAGGTGCATCTGTGATTGGTCTCATGGGGTTGTTTCTAATTAATGTCCAATCACAGTCAGCTGGGTCGGACTCTGTCCCAGACAGAAGCCTTTGTTGTCATTCCTTCTTTTTCTATTCTTATCTAGCTTTCTGAAGAAATCCTTTTTTCTATTCTTTTAGTATAGTTTTAATGTAATATATATCATAAAATAATAAATCAAACTTTCTGAAACACGGAGTCAGATCCTCGTCTCTTCCCTCATCCTGTGAACGCTGTCACATCCCCTCTGGGTTGTCTGACACAGCAGCTGCTGCTCCAGGGGGAATTTGGCTCCTGCAGACCCCAGACCCTGCCCTGAGCTGCTTCAACCCCCTTGGGCAGCTTCTGAATCCCCCAGGCTGCTGCAGT